AAATATTATAAGATAAAATTCACTAAAAAAAAGTGAACATTGCTGTATAGTTTACATCCATTTTGTCAGAGGGCAGTAGTAGCGCGACAGCATTTTGCGGTTAAAGGTTTGGGCCGTCAGGTGTCCTCTCTCAGGTTTCTCTTTGTGAATACTATTCAATTCAAAATTTTGAATAGGAAATGCAGTTTTTCAATCCAATTGTATCCAATTGAATCTAATTGAATCCAATTAAATCCAAAAAAAAGTATTCTCTATAATATATAAAATACGCATTCGGATAGAAAAAAATTTCAATCCATTTTAATTCTCATTTGCTGGGTTTATATAATATTTAATATTTAATATTAAATCTAACCTAATCTTAATATTTAATATTTTATTGTTATTCAATTCTTTATTCAAATTAATAGTGAGATAATAAGTCTACATAAGAAATACTTGATGCATGTTTTCTCATTTTTACATATTATCTTTTATCCATTCCTCCATCCATTCAAGTATTCTATCTACATTAATTGGCATGTCTTCTGGAACATTGTTCGTTAGTTCATACACTATTTCTGGGTTAAACGACTCTTGTGTTTCATGGATAACAATTACAAAAATTTCAGCTCCTAGATTGCTATCTGGTTTGTTCTTGGTCTTTCTTTCTGTCTTCCGTCTTTTATGTAGACGGTCGTCTAAAGTAGCATTGTTTGCTTTAAGGACAAACACAGCGTCAAACCAACTTGGAGGGAACAAGTCGGCTGTACGATAGTCCACGATTTGTCCTCCTTTTCTCATCCAATCCTCCATAAGTTTCACTAACTAGAAAGATATTGCAAACAAAAATTTGTATGTTTAACACCTAGATATAATTTACAAAAAATATTTCATAATTTTAATTTAATCAAACTTATTGGCTAATTTTAAATAACTTAACATTGTATGGATCATCAATAATTTATAATGACTTTATTTGTTCATTATATTTATTAAATAACATATATTTCATGATTTAAAAAAACAAAAATTGTAATTGTTAAGAACAAAGTCTAATGCTCGTATTATACTAGCAACAGACAATTGCATGTGTTTATGTTTCTTGGACCCAATTCTACCAATATAAGATTATCTTAAATCTTAATTTAACTTTGTTTACTTTTTCCAAATTTCAAGAATTTTTTATATTCAGAATTAGAAAAAAATAAAGAATAAATTGAAAAAAACAAAGATTAAAATTAATCTTATGTTGATGGTACCAAATCTTGATAAATTAAAAAGGAATTGCTAGCCAGCATCAATGTATAATATTGCATACATTTAATTATGTATCCACGTGATCAGAAATTCTTTTATAATTACATTATAATTATATAGTACTTTAATAGCAAATGTCAAATCGAACCTGAAAGTCTAGTATCATCAGAGATTCGTGTGACGTGAAATATATTAATGAAATATAACTGTGGCCTAGTTTCCACTAAGGGTTCGAACCAAGTCAGATGTTAGATCCTCTGTAACAGAGGAATAATATCTTTTCTTTTTCCTCGTTAATAACTCTTGCAAGCGCGCCAGTATCTCATGTAGCAACGGTAAGAGAGGGGATTAAATCTCGCATTAAATCTCGCGCACACCTTTGAAAGGAGAAGCGCCGATAGGAGAATGAATCAATTATATCTGTAAGTGTGTTGCCTTCATAAAATTATGCCGACTTCTATCGATCTTCCTCCGATTATACGTAATGTGAACTAGATTTTCAGTACTGGCAATGCATATCGGAACACGACCTATATGTTCACTGATCGAAGAAAGGTCAATAGAAGCATAATTTTAGAATAGTATTAATCAGGCATGGAAAACTGTCATTGTTGAATTGGAGGAATCTGAAGGTAATTAATTCGATTGTAGTTGGTTCGATTGATTGGTTCTTCTTGCATTCTGATCCTATGTTCGAATCTATGGTGGAAACTGGGCCCATGGCTACAAGAATAATTACCGTGTTTCCGTCGAATATGCTGCATTGTAACTCTTCGTCATACTCGCTTACATATCCACTATCAATAGCTACTTTATTGACATCGATCCAGTTTAATTCAGTATCTTCTTCCAACAAATTCGCCAAAGTACTCTTGCCTACGCCAGGTGGGCCTAAAAAACATTGACAACAATTATTAAGGGTATTTAGAATTTATACTGAATAACAACAACGCTATCACATACCACATAGTAAAATGTTAGGTAAGCTCCTATGCGTGTTCATTTTGTAGAAATACAGATGTAACAACAATTAGAATGATGCTAATTTTTTTCTTTCTTTATTAATGACACGTGGCCCTTCAAGTTGATCGTTGTTGACTGTATCCTAATAACAGCGATAAAAAAATATAAGAAATAACACAAGATTTGTTCGCATGCTCGAACATGCTCCTATTTCCTTCAACTGTAGCTCCTACTCACTCTTGTTTGTGAAAGTTGAATGAATAGGAGCTACAATTAGAAGAAGTAGGAGCATGCGACGTGAACAAACCTCTCATGTCATTTGAATATATTGAGTGAGTACAAAAATTCATGTATTTATTCAAAATTCAGACAGCTGCTATTTTTGTTAAAAATAAATAAAAATCTAAATCTTACTAAAAATTAACAAAAAAAGAGCATAAAAGCACATAAGTTGTTCTTTGTGATATTTAATATGTAATTAAGTTTATAAATTATTTAGACATTTCGGTCACAATCCGGCCATCTTCAATAAATTTACAAATATCAATAAAAACGTAGAAATTACATAAATTTAACGGTTAATATTAAAATTCAACGGTCATAAATATAATTATAAATTAACGCTTTCTTTCTTGTACAAGTACATCATAAAACGTGATTGTTGAGCCAATATTGCAAATTATGTAGAACGAGAATTACTAGATTCTAATTTTAAAATAATTATAGTATTATTAATATTTTCTAATAAATTTAATAAAGATTAATAATTCGTTACCTGTTTTTACAGCAAAATGATAAGTCTTAAACAATTTTTTCACAGATGAAAACGTCGTGACATTGTATTATTGTTTGTTAATATATTCATGTGTGTCCGCTATTTATATGTGCGTCAAAAGTTTAGCTTCTTCTAGAATTATTTTTATGTGTAAGAGAGAAAAGGAAAAGTAAATAAACGTCAGGCAAACCTTCAGTGTGCTTTTATTTATACTTATTTGGCTTTTTATATATATCATCTTCTTAAATTCTTCTTTTGAATAATTGTTCTGTATATAAAATTCTAACATTATTCCAATCCATGCTTCTTATTAACTTGGTGGCGTGAGACTACTGACATACCGGACCTTCTTATGTCGACATTATGTTCTTTTATTCGTTTTTAATTTTCTTTTTGTTTGGCCGATGTAAGAAGATTTACAATTCAACAACAACAAACAATTTATTTTATAAACCACCCCACAATGGTCCTTTTTATATAAGCGATCTTTTTCTGTTTTTATAAATCTATTAAGTTTATTGATCGACTTGTACGCAATATTTAAAGCCATGTGTGATAATTTATTAAATTTTTCCGAAACTTAACTTAAATATGATATTACAAAAAACTTCTTTATTAAATTAGATTCAGAATCGTTTTCCTTATTATTGCAATCATATTTTTATCTAAATTGATTCTATTTTCTGAAGTTTTTATTTTATTTTTAATTGTTGAAAAAACGAATTCAAGAGGATAACCATTAATTAACAAAGTGTGAACTAAATTTGAAATTTTTTTCATGAAATTTTGAATGGGAAAAACAATATTCTGTCTAATTGCCTGATGATTACATCCCTTTGTGTATTATTGGATGATTAGAATAATAATTAAGATATCTCTCTGAATTAGTTGATTTTTTATATATGTCAAAAATAATTTTTCCTAGTTTTACATCTAAAAAATTAATACTATTTTCGTCGCCAAAATTTACTGTAAACCTTATCCTATCATGATACGAATTAAACAGAAAATTCAACGGTCATAAATATAATTATAAATTAACGCTTTCTTTCATCTTGTGCGAGTACATCATAAAATGTGATATCTTCCACTTCACAGATTATCTTTATGCACAGACAATGTCATCGACATAACGAAAATAAAAGGACACAACAATATTATTAGTTGTGAGAATTTCCTGTTCTAAATCTTGTAAAACAATATTCGCTAATATGGGAGAAAGTAGAGAACCCATTGGCATGCCAAAAATCCGTTTACAAATTTTTTTCCAAATTTAAAAAATTTAAAAAATTAATTATAATAGTAATTGCTTTTAAAAACTCATGGATAGATATCGACGTCTTATTTTCAATGAGATTCCATCTTCGTTCAATATTTTTTATTACTAAATCGGTAGGAATATTCGTGTACATCGATACCATATCAAATATTATTTATCAATATTTAAAGCCATGTGTGATAATTTATTAAATTTTTAAAAATTATCGATATCCTTCCATTAAACTTATTTACAATATCAAAATCTTTTATATAATTAAAATTCTTACAATACTTTTCTATAATATCTTTTATATAACTAAAATTCTTTTTGTTATTACTATCTATAATGACTTTTGAAAAAGTCTAATGAGTAAAAAGCGCTATTTATGCAGCTATTATTTTAAGCGGATGGCCTTCCTTGTGAATTTTTAACAGGCCATTTTTGGCAGTTCTCTGTCCGATACATATAGTTTTTTATAAATATTTTGGTCAATGTTGTCCCTTGTTTTTCTAATTATTTAATAAATTATGAATTTCCGTTGTAATTTTATTAGTGGGATTCTTATTTACTACTATATATGTGCTCTGGTCATTAAGAATGTCATTCATTTTGCTTTTATAATTTTTAAGATTTATAATTATTGTTGTATTTTTTTATCCGTTCTAGTAATTAGAATTTCGAGGTTCTCTGAGATGAATCGGTTTATCTCCCTTACATCTCTATGATATCATTTTCTCTATGATATCATTTTCTATGGATTTAATTCCTTCAGTTATGATCAATAGATTTTAAAATTTAAATCGCCATGTTCCTTACAGTTTTACAAGTTTCATTATCCATTTTGAAAAGATTACACTCTATATGTTTAATAAATTTGAGTATATACTCTTTTCTTTATTAATGATGATTGTTAGGTAAATTAACATGCTGCAATTACAATATGACTGGTAATACTTTGGCTTTATCAGGAAGTATTGCTAAGATTTATTAGCCATTGTTTATTTATACTATTTATTGTAAAATTTGTTTTGAATTTATCTGGACAAATATTAATATTGTGCCTTATTTCTTGTTTATTAGCTATAATATCTTTGGTTGAAATTTTCTTTAATTTCAACGGTATTTTAACTTCAATAACGGCGATTTGGGTATATATCTCGTTGGGAATATATTTTTCTATCCGAATGCGTATTTTAAATAGCGAATACTTTTTTTTTGGATTTAATTGAATTCAATTAATTGGATTCAATTAGATTCAATTGGACGTAATTGGGTTGAAAAATTGCATTTCCTATTCAAAATTTTGAATTGAACAGTATTCACAGAGAGAAACCTGAAAGATCTTTCGATAATTGCTAATGTAACACCATTATATGAACCAAATATCGATTTATCATCTCTAATCCTGAAAAATGATGTACCCTAAGAAAAATGAACGTTGCTATATAGTTGACATTCACTTTGTCAGAGGGCAGTAGTGTGTGGCAGCATTTTGCGGTTACAGATTTTGAGGGTGTACAAGTATGAAATGACGATTTGAGAAACAGATGGCGCACCAATGCAGTGTGAAGATTACAAAGATTTAACATTATACGCCATTTTATTGTATCATCAACAAGTGTCAAACGCGCAAAGTGATTTGATTGAAAAGTGTTTGCATAGTATTGTGTTATTGTATTTAATATGATGAAATTTGTACCAAATAAGGAGCATTCGCGGACAGCATTAATTTTTTGTTTTCATTTGAAGAAAACTGCTGCGGAATCATATCGATTACTTGGAGAAGCTTATGGTGAACATGCTCCATCGCAAAAAACGTGTGAACGATGGTTTCAGCGTTTCAAAATTGGAGATTTTGAGGTTGCAGACAAGGAACACGGAAAACCGCCCAAAAAGTACGAAGACATGGAATTGCAAGCATTGCTGGATGAAGATGATTCACAAACACAAAAACAACTCGCAGAGCAATTGAGCGTTAGTCAACAAGCTGTTTCCAATCGCCTACGAGAGATGGGAAAGATACAGAAAGTCGGCAGATGGGTGCCACATGAATTGAACGAGAGACAGATGGAGAGGCGCAAAAACACATGTGAAATTTTGCTTGAACGATACAGAAGAAAGTCATTCTTGCATCGTATCGTTACTGGGGATGAAAAGTGGATTTTTTTTGAAAATCCCAAGCGCAAAAAATCATGGGTAGACCTAGGCGCACCATCCACATCGATCGCAAGACTGAATCGCTTTGACAGGAAGACGATGCTCTGTGTTTGGTGGGACCAGAAGGGTGTGGTCTATTATGAGCTATTGAAGCCTGGCGAAACAGTTAATACCAACTATCAACAACAATTGATCGATTTGAACCGTTCGCTGCTTAAAAAACGACCAGAATACCAAAAGAGGCAACACAAGGTCATTTTTCTCCATGATAATGCTCCATCACATACGGCAAAACCAGTTCGGGACACGTTGGAAGCACTCAGCTGGGAAGTTCTACCCCATGCGGTTTACTCACCAGACTTGGCTCCTTCCTATTACCACTTGTTTGCATCGATGGGTCACGCACTTGCTGAGCGGCGCTTTGGTTCGTACGAAGATGTGAAAAAATGGCTCGATGAATGGTTCGCGGCAAAAGGGGAAGATTTTTACTGGCGTGGTATCCACAAATTGCCCGAAAGATGGGAAAAATGTGTAACTAACAATGGAGCATACTTTGAATAAATCTCTTTTTATCATTCTTCCGAATTTAACGTTTTTTTTTTTGGGAAAAAAATCGTCATTTCATACTTGTACACCGGTTGCAACACTTTTTTTTAATGGGTTTCTCAATGCAGTCTAATGAATTTATTCAATTAATACATAATGAATTTATAATAAATTTATTCAATTAATATAGACATTAATACATTAATATAGATATTTTAATTCTAAATTGCGGATTCTTCTCAATATATCGCAAACATTCATTAGAAATTAAGAATTAACAATTAGATAGTTCGGTCATACG